GATCTGCCTGCCTTGGCCTCCCAAAGTTCTGGGATTACAGGTGTGAGCCACCGCGTCTGGCTGGGGCATGCTCTTTACAGAGGCAATCTCTAAGTCCTTTCCTCCATTTTTCAAATGATAAAGCCCAGACAGGTTAAGTTGCCTGTCCAAAGTCACCAGGAGAGCAAGGAACAGAGCCAAATCCACAGTGAGACTCTCTGACCTCGATCTCTGACTGCTCTGTCCACATTACTTCCGTCTGCCCCTTCCAGGGTATGGTTTGGGGAACCCAGTGCCTGCTTGGGCCCTGAATTTTGCCTGCTGTGGTTGGAAAGAACCTGTTCTGACATTTGATTTTGGTTTTAAAATAATCCTGTTCCTCTGAATAATCCTGTTCCTCTGGTGTCCACTGGGAATTTCTATAGGTTTCCTCATCTGCACAACTTCCTCCTTTGGCTGGTTTGCAAAGGGCAGGGGTGGTTAGATTCCCCAGAGGTCAAGTCTCCCCAAGAGGCCCTGAAGCCCTTTTTGGGCTGCACAGAAGGAGGCTGAAGGGGGAAGAAGACAAACATAAGATGTTGACACTTCCTCCTCTCCATCCCCAAACCCCTCATTCTTATCAGCAAAGATCTCAAACTGAAGTGTGAGGTTGCACCACCGGGCCCCAGGATGAGGGAGAGGGAAAGCTGTACCAGATGCGGTTTGTGCAAAGGAGCTCAGGCCTCACCTTGGTAAATGTGAGATTCACAAATCCTCCCTGAAAATTCAACAGAAGGTTGGAGTTTCGGGTGCCACAGTTCCCAGAGGCTTGGGTTGCGTTGGGGTCGAGGTTGAAGTATCTCCGAGGTGAAAAAACCTAAACCAAGTAAGACAGATCAGCTAAATGAGATGTGGAAGAAAACTCTAGCTAAGGAACCAGAGGCATAGGCTAGTTTGTGAGCCTGAAACTTAAGGCTGAGGATTCACTGGAGAACTGCAAAGTCCCCAGACGGCATCTCTCTTTTCCAAACTGTTATGTTTAAAAGCTTTCTTAAAGAGGAGTTCTCTCACAGAGGAGTTCCTTTGTAAATAATTGATGGCAGGTATATTCCTGATAAGCTGCGTGGAATTTATGTTAAGTTAAACGTGTTAAATGATACTAGAGGGAAGGGTTTGCTCTGTAAGGTACCTCTGTCACAAATAGCAACCTGGATGTAGAAGTTTT